GCGTGTGAAATGAGTGCAATTGTGCAGTAGTTGGAGCATTCTTTGGCACTTCCCTTCTTTGGGATTCGGATGTAGACTGATCTTCTCCAATCCCTTGGCCACTGCTGAGTTTTCCAAATTTGCTGGCATATTGAGTGTAGCACTTTAACAGCATCATCTTTTAAAATTTTAAATAGTTCAGCTGGAATACCATCACTTATGGAATACCATAAGTAAATGAAAATAAATAAAATGGGAGGGTAGGACTTCAGAAGGCTCCCTCTGACCTTCAGCATCCAAGGCAGTCTGCCTCAATTCCAGCTGGCAGAATTGGGAGCAGGTTATTGTACCGGTGGACTTCCCATAGGAATCTGGTTGCTCACAGTGAGAACGGAAAGCAGGCCTTTGGACTGATCCAGCAGAGCTCTTCTTAAGTTCAGGTAGATAATACTGACCTGACAGCTTTGTGTAGGATGTGGCTCGAGTATAATTACTTACCTTTTCGTTGAGGAATCTCTTATAGGCTTCCAAACCTATGAGAGCCAGTGTGATGCAGTGGTTAAGAGTGGTAGACTCGTAATCTGGTGAACCGGGTTCGCGTCTCTGCTCCTCCACATGCAGCTGCTGGGTGACCTTGGGCTAGTCACACTTCTCTGAAGTCTCTCAGCCTCACTCACCTCACAGAGTGTTCATTGTGGGGGAGGAAGGGAAAGGAGAATGCTAGCTGCTTTGATACTCCTTAGGGTAGTGATAAAGCGGGATATCAAATCCAAACTCCTCCTCCTCCTCCTCCTCCTCTTCTTCTTCTTCTTCTTCTTCTTCTTCTTCTTTCTTCTTCTTCTTCTTCTTCTTCTTCTTCTTACGACGTAATTCTGTTTTAACCCCACAAAAGCCACTGCTATCATTTTGGTGAGCAGGCACGCCAACGAGGGGACGGCGGATGATTCTTTGCGGGGTGAATTCCATCAAGGTGTGTGCACACAGGTTCTCAGCGTCAGAAATGGCCAAATCACTTGTGGTCTCCTGTGTAGCTAATAAAAGGAAGAGAAATGATTTCATCAAGAAGAGCCATTTATTTCACAGGTCTGTGGGCAAGGGGGCTGGATATTGCTTCCCCTCCATGCTTGCCCTCCACCAAGAACGTTGCTTTTGCCGTGATGAATGCTGCCACCTTCTGCGACGTTATGAGTACGTCGTGTCCCTTCACAGCTGCTTGTCCCCTCTTCCCTAAGAAAACAAATGACAGCTCCCCTTAGTGTCATCCTACCCCCCCCCCCGCTCCTTTCTTTAAATGACTTTTCTCTTGGAGATTTATTGCAAGAGCTTTGCGAGAGATTTGTAGCAAGCAGTGCTCAGCCTGTAGCCTTACATCCTCAGTGCCACAGCCATAATTCTCCCAGAGTGGAATGATAGAAGATCACAATGGCTAATAATGTATTATGATGATACTGTCTGCGCAAGAAAGATTGTGTTCCGTTTTCAGCAGCTCATTTGGGTCGCACGGAACTTTTCCTCACCTCGATGAAACAAATGGCGCTTTCCTGGCTGTGCATGCAAGCCAAGTAAATTAAGCAACAGCAAATAAATTAAAATAAGGCAGCTATCCTGTCACTATCTGGCATGAGTTTGACTTTCACAAGGAGCTGCTCTGAGGAAGATGTGTGTGTGTTTATGTATATGTATATAGTTCCTGGTGCCTTAGAATCAATATGTCAGGATGATAGGCAGTGACAAATGTTTAGTGGCCTGTTCCAAATGAACCACATATAAAGATGTGTCTCTCTCCTGCTAGCTGAGGCCTTTGGAGGGGCTAAGTGAAGCCCAAATTGATGAAACGGGAGCACCATGGAAGTAGGAGACAAGTAACACAGAGAAGCATCTTATCAGGACCTGCTAAGGAGCAGGGAAATTGTTCTCAGAGCCAGAGGAGGTGTGTTAACTTCCCAAGTCCTGCCCCTCATGTGTGACATGGAGAGCAACTTGTACACTGTTCAGTTGGGTTTCCTTCCACATAAGTGTCCCTAAGGGACATAGCTTAGTTTTGAGCCTCACACTCCGCATGGAGACATGTGGAGAAGCTTTGGGTAGTTGGTACGTTGGCAGGGGTTCAGGCTTAGCACTGAAATGACCAGACAATTGAACATGGAGGCTATTTCTCCCTATATGAACCAGCCCAGACCTTGTGGTCTTCATCAGAGGCCCTTCTCCAGGAGCCCCGCCCAAGACAGGTGCAGAGGGTGGCCACATGAGAACAGGCCTTTATGGTGGGGTCTCCCATCTGTACAATACTCTACAGTGCGAGGCATGCCTGGTGCTATTCTTGTCAGTCTTTAGGCACCAGGCGAAGGCTTCTTTGTTTACCAAGACCTTTGGCAATAAAGACGTCTGAAGGCAGCCAAGAGTGGCTGGGACAACCCAGTCAGATGGGCACCATATAAATCAAGTTATTACTATTGCCTCCTATGGCTGTGCTCATCTTTTAGCAGGGTGGATAGGACTTGTCCTTATTCATATTTTACTGAACATGCTTTTTATGTAATTGTATTGTTCATAGTTTTACCCACCCCACCCCCCGTTTTAAATTGGCTTTATTTGTTGTATTTTATCTTTTCAAGTGTCCTGATCCCCTGGCCTACCTGGCAGACAGCGTGCCAAGGCAAAGTTCCAAGTCCAAAAGCCAATCCATACAAGCCAAGTTCAAAGATCAGGAAACGCAGTCCAGGGTCAGTCCAAGTAGTGCCAATATAGGAGTTCAGCAGTCAGGATACAGACCAGAGTCAATCTCGAAGTAGAAACCTATGAAGGTCTGAGAGGAATCCCAGGTGAGGCGCCTCAACATGGGCAGGTGAATAGACACAGTACCTCAGCTCTGCTGCCTTCTTATACTGTGTCTGTTGATTGCAGCTTCTGCGCTTGATGAGGCAGGTGCCCCAGCTGAGGAATCACATGCGTCCTTCCCCACTTGGCCAGCTAGTGAACTAGGCTCTGCTTCCTGGAGTGCCTCACCCACTGGTCTTAGGTGCATTGGGACACTGTGACGGAAACCAGAGTACATGGAAACGCCATTTACCTTCCCGCACAGTGATACCTATTTATCTACTTGCACTGGTGTGCTTTCAAACTGCTAGGTTGGCAGGAGCTGGGACAGAGCAGTGGGAGCTCACCCCATCGTGGGGATTTGAACAGCCAACCTTCTGATCGACAAGGCCAAGAGGCTCATTGGTTTAGACCACAGCGCCACCTGTGTCCCATGTATCCTTCAATTGTTATTTGATTGCTCCTTGCGCCTGCTTTCTGCTCGGCCCTTTAGTTTTCACTTGCTCTTTGTCCCTGACTACTGGTTTACCTGTGGCTCCTGGGTACTGGCCAGTGCTTCTTCTGTTGTTGTTGTTTTTTTTTGGGGGGGGGGAATGAGAAATGGTGCCAGTACTCACCATGAAGTTGTTACAGTAAAAATACTCCTAGAAAAAAAGCTCTGGTCCTGACTCTCCACATACTGCTCCCTATTACGGCTCAGCTCTTACACAAAGTCAGAACTAGGCAAACTAAACCTCAGCTTAAAAACCTAAATTTAAACACAAGACTTTTATTTTATTTTATTTTATTGGATTTGTATATTGTCCTTCCTCCATGAAGGGCCATTAAAATATTGTTCTATATTATCACAAGGGGGGAGGTTTCTACACCAGCCAGAAGAACAAGGATGGCATTGATGGAACAGGCTCAAATGTTTATTACTGAAGGTTGAATGCACATGGCCGTGGTGATGTGGGAGATGGCAGGGAGGAGGGAGATTGCAGGAAGGAGGGAGGGAGGCCAAGACCTTACATGGTAATAGGAACTTACTATAATTTTCGATTTCCCAGAAATCAGGTGGTTTACAAGAAATCAGGTGGTATTGTATTCTGCAAATGTATAAAAAGCTGGCTCGCTCAGAATTCGGGGGCAGACATTGGGCAACGCGTGTCTGTACCATTTTTGTCATGACAAAATAAAGGGATTTTTCCTGTTGTCATTTTGACTCTTTCAAGCGTCTCTATTGCTCCAAGGATCTCATCAGATAAGGAGGTCATAAAAATGTCCTTCCTCCAGAGATCACAGGGCGGTTCACAACATAAATATACAAAATGAGAACACAAAATACTGTACATAATAAAAACAAGAACTGAAGCTAGCCAATAACGGGGCATAGACTAGCTTCCATGGCTATCTGAAGTGCACGTCTCACCGTGGGCATAGCCAACGGGGGGCAGGGAGGGGCAGCTGCCCCCCCTCAAACAATAAAAATACATAGCTGAGGTTCTCTCCCCCCCCCGATAAAAAGCCTGCCCCCCCCCAACAAAAAATCCTGGCTAATGCCTCTCATTATTTTTTTATTTTTAAATGAGAGCTATAGGTTGATTAATGGGACGTGGGTGGCACTGTGGTCTAAACAACAGAGCCTAGGGCTTGCCGATCAGAAGGTCAGCAGTTCGAATCCCAAGACAGGGTGAGTTCCCGTTGCTCTGTCCCAGCTCCTGCCCACCTAGCAGTTTGAAAGCACATCAAAATGCAAGTGGATAAATAGGTGGGAAGGTAAACGGCGTTTCCATGCGCTGCTCTGGCTCGCCAGAAGCGGCTTAGTCATGCTGGCCACATGACCCAGAAGCTGTCTGCGGACAAACACCGGCTCCCTTGGCCTATAAAGTGAGATAAGCGTGAAACCCCAGAGTCGTTCGCTACTGGGCCTAACGGTCAGGGCTACCTTTACCTTTATAGGTTGATTATCTGTTTAATACCACACCATTTGCATTAGATACTTTAATAAATAAGTTGGTGCCCGTCTTCAGACTATTATTCAAGATATAGCACAAAGTATATGAGGACTTTGCTGCCTCCCCTGCCCCCTGTTCACCATATTCTGCTTTCTTGAATAAAAATAGTTGGGAAGTTGTTGAGAGCACAGTAGGAGGGTGAGATCCTTTCTCCTGCCCACATATACAATGCTTATCAAACATGAAAGGTACTTTATATCATTCCAGAGTTGGGTCTCTCTTGGTTGTTGGCACATCATCTCTGCACCCGGTGAAATCTAACCAGTTATTTAGTGGCAAGCGAAAACTAATGGGAAAGGATAAAACCACTGATCTTTAGACAGATCAGATTAGGGTAAGTGAAAGCCAATGGCAACGTCCTAATTTTAGCAAAAAAATATCACTACTTAACCACGCCATAATAGCGATATTTGTGCTACCAGTGTATTAGCATCACACAGATGGCAAGACACTTCAGTTGCATACCTTCTGTTGACAGTGTTATGAGCACCTACGTTTTAAGAGGAGGAGAAGCAGTATATCTCCTGAAAAGGTGTCAGGGCTAATTCCAAAGAGGTGAAGACACTTGCTATTAGCATCTAAGGATTCTTCTCCCATCATGATTCATTCCTCACATGCAAATCTGTTCTATTTAGGATGACTGCAAAATGATTCTATCATCCTGTCATCTGGCTTCTCTGTGCTTCCGATTGGTCTGTATTTATAGAATGGCTATAATAATACAAGTCTTGTCTTCTCATTCTGATAGTGCGTTTCGGGTAAGTTTGACTGAGTTATCCTGCCACTAAGCCAGGTTAACGACTTGTCCTGTATTCAGACTGTGAACGCACAGGCCATGGAATATCTCCTGAGCTAACCAGCAGCAAGAAGTGGCTATCAGGGAGTGATCCGGTGCTTCAGAGAACCTGCAGGAGTTCTGAGACAAAGAGGGTGCTGCTTCAGTGCTGTCCAGAACCCTACCGAGGTCTTTATTTCATTAAGTTTATTATCACATTTTGGGGACGCAGGTGGCGCTGTGGTCTCTAAACCACAGAGCCGAGGGCTTGCCTGCCATCCTAGCAGTTCAAAAGCATGTCAAAGTGCAAGTAGATAAATAGGTACTGCTCTGGTGGGAAAGTAAATGGCGTTTCCATGCACTGCTCTGGTTCTCCAGAAGCAGCTTAGTCATGCTGGCCACATGACCCGGAAGCTGTACGCCGGCTCCCTCAGCCAGTAAAGCGAGATGAGTGCCACAACCCCAGAGTCGTCCACAACTGGACTTAATGGTCAGGGGTCCCTTTAACTTTACCATTACTATTACACACCACGTTTCCTTCAAGTCGCTCAGAGTGGTGTATGTGATTCTCCCCTCTCCATCTGATCTTCACAATAATCCTGCAGGATAGGTTGGGCTGAAGGGCAGTGGCTGGCCCAAAGTCATCCAATAAGCTGAAAATTTGAACCCTGGCCTCCCAGGGTTCCTAGTCTGGCACTCTAACCTCTCACACCACATTGGTTCTTGAGTAGTAGTGCCTGCCTCATTAGTATTCCAGTTCCAGCCTTCAGTTGCTTGCTTCTGTTGTTTCTTTATTTCTATTAATACATCTGTACGTATACAAAATGTAAGGATACAGCATACAAATAGAGAAACCTGTGCTCTTCCTCCACAGTGCTATTCAAGAAGACAAGAGTGTGAGGGTTAAGAACCAGGTCAAAAGAGTGTTGTCAAAGAAGACAGATGACTCAACTACATTAGCCATGTTACAATGGTATAACTATGTTATAAACATGCGACACCAGATGGTGCTGTAGAGTACAAAACTTTGTCTATGCGATTTTACATAGTCCTCCCCCCTTTTGTTATAACAATTTAATTTATGACTTTTTTATAGTGGCTTTTTTCCTGTGTATAGATCCTGCCAGAGCAGACAGAGGCAAGATATTGCTCACCAGCCTGCACCAAAAGAAAGTATCTTACAAGTTCCAACAAGTTAAGTCATACTTGCATGGATACATGAGACAAAGTGATTGTTTTGTTCATATGTGTTGTGGAAGTTCACCAAATAGTGATAAAGTCCTGAGGATCCACCCCACCTTGTAAAGCTTTCAGATGATGAGAGAAGCACGCCACACCCTCTGCCACCACAGGGAGCCTCTGCTGCTGCAAGGGAAGTGTGGCACAATCTCCACTGCTGCAGGAAGGTATGGCAGGCCCCTCTGCCACCACAGGGAGGCCCCACAAGGCCCTCCGTCACTGCAGATATATATTGTGATATAACGAGATACCATGATATTTAGCTGGTGATATATCGTGATGATGAAAACCAGATATCATGCAGCCCTAGTAGGGAGTAAACTCCACTGACTGTAGTGGAACTTACTGCTTAGTAAACATGTCTAGGATTCCCTCATGATGCCCTACAGACTGCTTTGCCTGGCGACAGGCTCAGAGAATGCAGGATCCCTGAGAGAGATTTATCGTGAGCTGCATTTTTATAGGCTTTTACCAATTTAGAGTCAATTTCTAAGGTGTCTGTCACAAGACTATTTACTAGAGCTGTCAATCAATTAAAGAATGTTTTAATTAGTTGATCAATTAATCAGCTACAAGGCAATCAACAGATCTATATAAATCTGCATATTACTGGATGCTAAATATACAGTAAATGCCTTTTTCAGAAGGGTGTTGGACGTTAAGGAGACATTTTGTCAGTTTCTGAGTTGTTTATGGCTTGGTGGCTTGCAGTAATAAAAAAGAGTGATAATTATATATTACATTGTGGATGATCTCATACTTCTTTCTGCACTATAAATGCAGTGTCATTTATATAACATATTTACTCTCATGGCTTTCCCTAAAGGATACTGGGAACTGCTGTTTGGTGTGAGTGCTGAGAATTCTGTTAATGCTCCCTAGCTTTTCTTACAATACAAGTTTATAGGATTCGTTAGACAGAGCTAATGATTATTGAGGCTGCAGTTCCGTGTCCACTTACTTGAGAATAAGTCCCAGTGAATTCGACGAGACATCCTTCTGAGTTGACATGTGTAGGGATGTCCTAAGCTTGTTGTGTAGATGTGCCCAAATGGCTTATTCTCATACAGTCTAATCTTGACTATTATGCCTCTCACTTGCAGAGCAATCGTATACATATTTGCTCAGAAGTAAGTCTCACTGTGTTCAGTGGGGCTTTTCCCCACCCTTAATCTATTCTGAAACAATGCCTATCACGTGCTGCCACTGCTCAGTCAAACAGAGTTTTAAGGGGAAGGGTAGTGGATGGTGGGTAGGGAAAGAAAACTTTGGAAGTTTTCTCTGGTTCAGATTTTAAATCTGTGTTTGATAAGAATTCTGGTGCTGTATTTATTTAGTGAGAGTTACATACTGCTTAATCAACGAAAGCATGGCTTTGGGATTCATGTAGAAAGGCAAGGATAATGCAGGTGAAGATCTGAGCATTTGTAATTTCAGAATTGCTTTTCCTCACGTTTGACACACTGTAGGGGAAAATGTTATACAGAGAAGATTTCTCATTACCCGTTTTCATGCTTTGGAGTCAACATGGGTTGACCCTCTCAATAGGTTTGAGGTCTTGTAAAATATTGCATGTGCCCATATTGTTTCTCATTGCAAATGCAATCCACTTTTTCTAAGATTTTTCAGCAGGTGGAGAGTGGCTGAAAAATCCACAAAGCTGCTTCATGCGCACACATATGCACCGAAACAGTGACAATTTAAACATGTAAAACCAGTAAGTCTATACACCATACATGTAAAGCACATGACACCCTCCCCACGGAACCCTAGGAAGTATAGTTTGTTAAGGCAGCTGGGACCTGTCACTCTGTGAAAGGGTAAATGACAGTTTTCAGGATTCTTGTGAGGGGGGGAGGGGAAGCAATGTGCTTTAAATGCATGGTGTGCAATCATTTTAAACCCCTCCGAAGGTGCAAACTCTCTGCTCTTTGAGTTTGGAATAAACTTAAAGCTTTTTCTTGGCAATAATTGAGACGAGAACACCCCTGTTCCTCCCCCCCTCCTACAAAAGGATAGCCGATCTGTTACAGCTTTAATACCACGATTGCTCTCCGTTGACTTAAAATAACCACGATCCTTGCCAACTGTGTTTTTAGCTTTAAAACCACGGTCGCTGCCTTTCGAATTAAAAATGAGCAACTTGACTTCCTTACCCCCCCCCTTAAAAATCACTGGGTTCTCACGAGCTGTGCCTCTGCGTCCACCCACCCCGGTTTCCCTCTCGCTCCCCTGCTCCTTTCCCAACCCGTTCGCCATAGGAGAGATGCAAAGGTCACCACGCAACCGAAGGGTATAGGGAAATGATATTCCTATGGATAACGGCAGGAACAGGAAAAGGAGCGCAAGGCGCTTTCCCAAGGTCACGCAGGCATTATATCAGGAGATGAAAGCAACAACAACAACAACAGCCGTTGTTTTCCCAAGCCGGCGCGCTGCTAAATACTTCGCTCCACTCTTTCCCCCTCCTACAAAAAAGAAAAAGAAAAAAAGCAGGAGGTGCGTCAAGCGAAACAAAGAAAAGGAGAGAAAAAGAGAAAGCAAGCAATAATGATACGCCGGAAGTGAGCCGGGCACGTTTAGCGAACGGGACACCCCCGCCGCGCTCGCCGCCTGCCCGCTCTTCATAACGTTCCATTGCGGCGCTATAGTATATAGCCCTTCCCTTTGCCCGCAGTAAGCGCTCTTGTGCCTCTTCGCAATTGGGCTCGGCTCTCCCCCGCATCCCCGGGGCGGAGAGTTCCGGGGCTGTTTCTAGGTCGCGGGGCTGCTGCCTGGTTGGTTGGTTTGGTTGGCTGGCGAAGGCGGCCGCCTGCTGTTGTGTTGCTGCTGCTGCTTCTCCTCCCTCCCTCCCTCCTCCCTCCCTCCACTCCGCTCGCGCCAAGCCCCGCCCCCAGGAGCGCCGCGCGACGCTGCCGCCGGGATGCGGGAGGAGGAGGAGGAGGAGGAGGAGAAGGAGGAAGAGGAGGAGGGATGCTGAGGAGCTAAGGAGCCGCCTCGGCGAAGGGATCCTCCGGGGCGCCGCTGCGGACAAGCGGGCGGGCGAGCCCTCGGGGCGGCGGCAGGCGGCGGAGGAGCCAGCAGCCCAGCTCCCTCCCCCCCCCCCGCGCGCTTCTCTCCCGCTCCCTCCTCCGCCCTTTCCCCGCCGCCTTGCCGCCGCTCCCCCTGCCGCCGCCGTCGCCCTGGGGCCGGGCGGGCGGCCGGGGAATCGCGGCGCTTGGATGCCGGGAGCCCGCGGCAGAGACCCAGCCCCGAGCCCGCCATGGGCTGCTGCGGGAGCGCCGCCTCTCAGGTGAGTCAGGCGAGGGCAGGAACCCCCCACCCCCGTCCTTAACAGCACCCCTGTCCCCCCTATCAAGAGCAAATAGAAGCTCCTCCACCTTTTATTTTATTTTATTCTAGGTTCTTAGTCTTGCCCTCCCCGCGCTTCTCTTCCATCCCCTTCCCATTTGCGTCAATTCTTCACCACCACCCCCTTTTCCCCAGTTTACACCTTGGCATGTTTATATTTATCCGTATTTATTTTATTTTTTACACCCTCAACCCCCTCATTTCTCCTCCTTTTCTTCCTGGAGATTCTGGAGTAGGTTGGCATAAACTTATGCAACCGAAATGGAATAGGATTTTGGTTTTGGGTTGGTTTTTTTTCGGGGGGGGGGGAGCCTCTTAAGCCCCATCATCTACTGTCACCCACGTCTGCTCGGAAAGGGCTCTCCGGTTGCAACCCCGGTGTGTCATAATCTAGCAGTTGGATTGTCTCTGCCACTGCTGCCACCCTCCAGTCACGACCATTCTGACCCTGGCATTGATTTATAAATAATATCGGTTGGGGGGGCAGCCTTTAAAAGTGCCCGAAGCAAAGGAGAGGTGAACGGTCAGTGCACGTTAAGGAGAACGGAACAGAATCAAAAGCAGTGTTGCAAATGCACCCCTCCTGCAGCTGCTTGTTTTCAAGTCTTTCTTTACCAACTGGTAGGAGGAATGAGCCTAAGCAATTCCTCCCCCGCTCGAATCGCTCAACGGATGCCTGGCTCACCTCTTGTTTTTGCTGCCTTGGTATCTCTGCAGTTCTCCTTTCCTTGAGTCCGTATGAACTTTCGTTGACCCATTGCTGCATACGTGGACCCTTTGGATTGTGGTGTGGTGTTTCTCAGGAGCATAGGAAGCTGCCTTATTCACTGAGTCAGACCATTTGTTCATCCGGCAGAGAATTTGTCTACACTTGTCTGGCAGTGGCTTTGCCAGAGTTCCAGGCAAAGATGCTCTCCCAGTCCTACTTGAAGATGCAATGGATAGAACCAGGAGCCTTCTGCGTGCAAGGCAGATGCTTTGCCACTGAGCTACATGCCTTCCCCTTTGCCCTGTAGGAACCCTGTCGTTGAAATGTCTCTTTCCAAGTCACCTCTTAGGGAACATTTCATAAGCAGCCTTCCTAAGCGTTAGCCTTCTTGCTAAACTGTGCACAGCCTTGTTGCACACTGCCAGACACACTCAAAGAGTGCCTTGTCTCCTAACCCATCCTCATCTGCTTACTTTAATATCCATAAGAAGAGCCCTTCTGGATCAGGCCAAAGACCCATCTAGTCCAGCATCCTGTTCTCACAGGGACCAGTGAGTGCAACCGTGCACTTCTCGCTTGTGACCCCAAGCAGCTGGCAGAGGCAACAGCAGAGGCAGATCATAGCTATTGTGGCTGGTAGCCACTGACAGTCGCATCCTCTGTAAGAGTGTGTCCTTTGCCTCACTCTCTGCAGCAGTGCCCGTATATTTTGAAATACTCCACACTGCTGTATCCTTGCCATTTTTTATCTTTCTTCGTCTACTTTGTGCCCCCCACCCCAGTTCCATCCCATCATTATACCACTTGTGCTTGCTTTAACAACCCACATTGCTTATCCATCCTTCATGAGAAGTATGCCTGCATCCTGCTGTTTATTTCATCTAGAACCTACCCTTCTTCCAAGTGTTTTCCTGTTTTAGCCTTGCAATCTTTTGAGGTAGGCTCCACTGAACTAGAACGAATTGTCCAAAGCCAAGCAGAATTCCCCACATCTAGGTACAGCCCTCTAACCACTATACCATATTCCTTTAATCCAACAGGACTTTTGTTGTCTACCTTTATTGGCACTCTCTGAGGGAGGCACTCAAGACCTCTTCACATGGACTAATTATCGCTAAAGTTTTAAGACATTTTTCTACATGGAACCTTGGTGGTAAAAGGGTGGATTACTTCCACAGCATGTTCAAAACTGGTGCTAGTAATTGTGAGGACAGCATTAGAGAGGTGCCAGTAACTTCAACAGTAACTGTTACAGATAGGTAGCCGTGTTGGTCTGCCATAGTCAAAACAAAAAAAATTCCTTCCAGTAGCACCTTAAAGACCAACTAAGTTAGTTCTTGGTATGAGCTTTCGTGTGCATGCACACTTGCATGCACACGAAAGCTCATACCAAGAACTAACTTAGTTGGTCTTTAAGGTGCTACTGGAAGGAATTTTTTTTGTTTCAACAGTAACTGTTATTCATAAGGATAACAGATGAACTTGTAGATACGTTCTCCATTCTTGAAGGATGGGTGTGAAGTCTTCATTGTCTAATGATAGGCAAGGCTAATTTGTTACAGTTCTGTTCAGATTATTTTCTGTCTTTTTTGTGCCTGTATGAATAAGAGGCAATTTGTCAGTGTATTGTATTCTATCTCTCCCACCATCCATACTCATCTATTCCTTCTGTAGAATGCCATCTTTCTCTAGGCCCTCTGGAGAGAGACTTCAGTAGCCAATGACGAAACTGACAATACTGTATAATGGCAGCATCTTTGTGAATAAGCGTGGGAACTTAGGTCTGCTGTTGGAATATACATGCTACAAACATAATGTACCTGTTACAATGCACAGCACCCGACCTGTGATAAAGCAGCATTGTGATGACTATCATTTTCTGATCCCTGCACTGATCCATTTGATACATATTTAGTCATGCATTTTTTTATGTTCAGAAAAGTTAGAGGTTTGAACCCAAGTGGTTTGGGTTTTCTTTTTCTTTTTTCAGTCCAAGTAACATGCATAGAGGGGCTTCTGGTTTTCTGCCCATTCTCTTTTCCTTCTCTTAGCTTTAGCCAATTTTTATTTGCCATGGTTATATTGTCGTCCTATTAGATTCAAGCCACAGTAAATAACTCCACTCACTACTCCAATTTGCTGCTTTAAAACCTGCAAGTTGTTGACGGCTGAACAAATTGGACCTAGCCCGTTCTCAACTGCTATCATCTTAACCATCATTAGTCTTGGAGGCTGGTATCCAAAACCTTCTTATCCCCTTCCCTTAATGGTTCCCTTCCTTTTCATAATGTCAGTGAGCATATTTTTGCCTTCTCTTATACCATGTAGTGTGATTCACTTCTCTGAACCTTCTGAAACTCTCTGCTTGGTTGGCATCCATTATGCAGTGTGTCTGCTCTGTGATTATGAGACCGTGTGCCCCTGTGATTTGGATTGATCAGCAGATGGCCCTGCATTGTGACAGCAGGCACTGGATCACTCAGTGGTTTTTTGGTTCCATTCAGCTCCATAATTCCATATTTTTGAATCAACAGTGTTGAAAAACAAACATGTATTAGTTGAGTAAGTTTGAACAAATTAACTTTCCTGATAGTGGCTTAATATTAGCAACTCAGGTTGTTCAGTTTGTTCCTTGCTTCTTATTATTACATGTTCTTTACATGATATACACAGTTTTTCCACATTTGGGGTTTTCTTTTTCTGTTTGGCTTCTTTCCTCAGGTTGAATCCACTGTGTGCCTCATGGCCTGTTGGTATCTGTCTCTTCTATCAAATTGCTAGATTACCCCCTTTTCTAATTTTGACCATTACAATATTCTTGTGCGTTTTGCCTCTACTGCTTTGTGGAAGTAGTATTCCCAATTATGCTTGTTTGCAAATGATTGCTCTGCTCATAACCTTGTTATTCAAGTCTTTCTTCTTGTCTCAAAGGCTCTTCCTTTTCTTTATGTTCTTTTCCTTTGCCTTCCCATAATAGTAGTTAAAAACAACAGCCTACACTCAAATTTATTTCCTTACTCTGAATTTATTGATCTTTGCTCAACTACCCTTTAAAAACATAAACTATGGTTGAATTTAATCTGCTGTAGGAGAAGGCAAGAAACCTTGTCATTAATATTTGCTTACCCATCCAATTTTCCTTATCCTTTCATGTAAAGCTTTTTCTGCCGCACTTTGTTGTGCTTTGTTATCCTTGCAGTACACGTATTTATTTTTTTGGCTTTCTTAAGATATAAGAACATACTTGGTTTTTCCTGCTGCCTTAGATCATGTTTGGTAATGTTTTTCAGGCAGCTTAATTTGGGAATCCTCTTCCATGGATCCAAACCACTGATTTGCTCCACTAGCAAGGGTTTGAATGTGGTGGAAGTATCCTTTTGTAGGCAGGGAGCTATCACGGTCAGTAGTCGGCATAATCTCCCAAAATGGGGCAGTTTGAGTGTGAGGAAGGGGTAGAACCTGGCTGGCCAACAATCTGATGAGTCTTAAGCCAGTCCAGCTACATATCTGATCCAGATCTCTCTTCTGTGCCATTCCGGAGCTGGTTCCTCTCCCTCACCTTCCATCCTTGGTGGCATGAACAGCAGATCTCCACATTGGCAGTGGCTCCAGGGCTCCATTCAGACCCGCCGTTCCCCAAGCAGGAGTTGGGATTGTTCCCTTAATCTTTTCCGTTGAAATTCTTGTATGAAATCTCCATTTTGCTCAAGTTTGCTTGCTGTCGTCCTGACCTTTTTCTGGTCTGCAAGGCAATTTCTACAAGGAGTTGGTCATGTCATCCAGCCTTGTAGGATCCTTGTACAGTGGTACCTCAGGTTACATACGCTTCAGGTTACATACGCTTCAGGTTACAGACTTCGCTAACCCAGAAATAGTACCTCGGGTTAAGAACTTTGCTTCAGGATGAGAATAGAAATCGCGCGGCAGCGGTGCAGCAGCAGCGGGAGGCCCCATTAGCTAAAGTGGTGCTTCAGGTTAAGAACAGTTTCAGGTTAAGAACGGACCTCTGGAACGAATTAAGTACGTAACCAGAGGTACCACTGTAATCTCTTTCCAAACAGGCACCCCTGTTGCAACAAATTATTGCGCAACCTTAAAGACCCAACAAATATACAGTGGTACCTCAGGTTAAGTACTTAATTTGTTCCGGAGGTCTATACTTAACCTGAAACTGTTCTTAACCTGAAGCACCACTTTAGCTAATGGGGCCTCCCGCTGCCGCTGCACGATTT